AAAATGAACATTCGGTTGTGGGGGTAAAAAGCAGCACGTGGCTGTCTGCATGACGGACAGGAGTCACATCGATGGAAAATGAAATGTTGTGGTAATGACAGCAGAGAGTCCCCAACTTGGAGAGCACTATTTGCACACTGAACAAAAGCCCCATTTGGAAATGATTCCAATCATAGCAGGAGCTATAGCAGCTAATGGGGGCGAGAGAAACGTGTACACAACTGTAAGATTAGTAAAGTGGTCAAAAGGAGAGAGCTGTGAGTGCTTGAGCAGGAACTACATTTGACGTACTTTACAATGTGTAATGAAATTGACTAGACAGATTTGAACTGGGTTGAGCTAGAGCAGCAAACATACACTAACAGCAACACAATGCCCCAGTGTTATCAATATAGGAATCATTAAATACACACTTACCTGTGAAGCCTTATTTTTTGTACAAGCTTACAAGTTTTCATCCACTATATCTCTAGACCATTTGTCCTCTTTTCTGTGTTTTCTGCTCATTTCATTGCCTTCACAAAACCCTCATTTAACAGCAGGTTCTGCCAAGCTCCCCCTCGCCAAAAAGGGAGAATAATACGTGCTATAGCTGCAAAACCATCTAGTATGAAGAGTGTCCTGTAGTTGTGAGCTGAACACAGGCATTCTAGATGTCATTTTAAATACTCTTGTGTTTCCAGTCCACTTATCTTACATAACCACTTCTCCCAATTAAGCTACCGTTGAATACCGTACAGGAAGCCCAGTGTGGATTATTGTTGTCTTCCATTGTCTGCCTTCCTCTGCCAACACCCTGGGTTTGGCGCTCAGGAAAGAAATATGAGCGCTATCTAGTGTACTATTATAAACTCATTAGTAATGTCAAGTGAGTTAGATTCTGATATGTCACCTTCTTTTGTTATTCAGTGGTTTGTTCCTTTGTGGTTGAGATATTATTGGAATTTCCCCATTGTGGGACTATTAAAGGAATATATTATATTAAGACATTAACACTGCATGTTGGTGAGCTAGAGTACTTCCCCTGGTTGAAATTGGTGTTAAAATGAGATCACCGGTGTTCAAGATGCTGGGTGATATATGATATAGCATGGTGTCAGATAAAAAAGTATCATTTACACATTTACTACCTCAAAAAATCATCGTTTGACTGTTTTGTTTTTTAGGTAAAAGTGCTAAACATTCACTGTTTCAGATTTCTCTCTATGATAGAGAGGATTTTAGGATTTGCGACCATCATTTGAAGACATGACTTTGGGCCTATAAACTCCCCTACCTACCTACTTATAGACTATAAATAACCATTAGTTGGGTTGAAGCATGAAGAGAAGGATTCAGGTTGTATCAGTGATGTTGGCCAATGTGCGTTAATAAAAATGTATCAACGATAAAATACAAATATTGTCAGCAGACACGTTCCTATGGCTTCTTAATTGTTTGATTTCCCCGAGCCAGTGTAAAAACATTTGTGACACACAGGAAATTTCCCTGAGATGTGCTATTTCCAGTCAGCCTCTCTTATTAGATACATCATAATTTGAGCAAAAATAGAGATGAACACCCAGTTTCTCTTTCCTCTCAGACTCTCTTTCATGTGGCTGCATTGACTCAGCAGTGCTGGGCCGCAGTGTCACTGTGTGCGTCGTTTGTGTTACTATGCCAAGCACCGTAGCTCGGCGTGGAAGAGTGTATGCACAGCGTGTGCTGAGGTGGAGCCAACTTTTGAGCATTTACAAGATAAGTGTCCACACTTTGCTAACAGTGCTAACTTGACAAGTCTTCAGCCGTGCTGTTTGACACAGGAAACCATTCTCTGTCATCACCCTGAGCAACACAAACAAACTTGTTTTCAAATTTCAAATTTTGATAAGAACATGCCACAAGTCATCCTTAAATCAACCCGCATATGGTGATAGTTAAAAAGGCTGTATGTGCTGTTCTGTTTGCATCATGGCATGGAAACCTAACTGAACTGACACATGTTGTCCTCAAGCAGAACCAGTGTCTGAGGTTTACTTTTGGTAGAATCCTTATTTCTGAACCATGAACATATTCTCTGTTTAAGTTTGCTCTACATTCACCCTCTCCAACTTTTCCACTTCATTTGCTAGGCAGTTGTACATGGCTTCACATACTAGAGGCTGGGAACAACTCTCCTCTCTCTTTCCCAGCTATGGAGGACAATAGTGAATTGTGTGATGAAGCTGAAATGCCCACGGGCACCTGAACAGCACGTTTGAAAAGCGGTGGTTCTCCTTTACGCTGTGCCACTGTGTCAGCTCTGGAGTGTTGTTGTCACACATACTGATACAATCTGAAGTGAAAAAAACACACTGCCACACACAGATGGATGACAGGTGTTTGAAGATTGTTTTTGCTAGATGTCACAGATGCTCTACACTATAGTTGACAAAAGCAAAACCCACTCTGCTGGTTCCTCTGACAGTGATGGAGAGGAGCTTGAAGGCCTCCTCTGGTGCGTCTGCCCCACACACAGAGCCAGTGCACCATTCACACTGTCATTGTTTTACCTAAACATACTATAGAGACACTAATCTTTGTGACTGAACACGTATTTACCCACAAACACGCTGGTTCAGCCCTTATACACATCCATTCATACACAGTGGAATCCTGTAATTGAACACACCAGTGCTACTTTATGTGCATGCATGCACGCTGCCACTTATCATCTGACTGTGGCATCGGCGCTGCTGCTGGGAAACAAACAAAGAATGTTGTGATGCCTTCAGGTCCCCCACATTGCTGGCGGCTCTGAGCGCTGTACACCACATGCTACAACTGCTGGCTGTTTGTTCTGCCTCGCTCCGTGGGCTGTATCAAAAAGTCCCAAACATGCTTTATCTTGTAAATCCTTAATCCATCTGGCTTCCGTCTTTTTAAGACCGCTAACGGTAAGGAGTGTTTCAAAAAGAGGAAGCGCTGAAGCAAAGTGGATTCATATGCAAAGACTGGAGGGTTTGTGTCTAAAGCAGTTGAAAACGATGTTGTGGTTTCTGCGCTTCTGTTTAACTGTTAGCTGTGATCTATCTGTGGCTTCTTCCCTACTTCTCCGTGGTTTCAGGTATGAAGGAGTCAGTTAGTTATCAAGTAGGGCTTGGTGTTGTAAAGGATGTATACGCTGACAATGATGCAAAAACAACCAATCACATCACAGAAATACCGTTATTTCATAGCAGTCATTCCCCAGAGGCCCAGGGGGGATGGTTGAGTTAGCTGAACACTCCTTATGCTGTTGTTTTGAGTATCAACAGTCTGGATACTTAGGTGGTAGAAACAAGCACTACTAATGAGAAAACTTTGTCCTAAGCAAAAGATGAGTATCCACAGCAACTGTAAATGTAACGGCCTCGGTGGTGTGGCTTTACTTTGGCTACTTAAAAGTCTGTTTGGCCACTGGGTGGATGAGCCAATCTGAAAAGTCTGCCACGTGACAGGATGCTGTGTATTTAGTATGTTGAAAACCTTTGGCAACAGACGGGAAACAGCATTAACTCAGCTGATGGCCTCAAGCAGCACCAATGAATCACCCATTCCCTGGAACGAGTGGCAAGGCGGTCAGACAGCGAACTGTCCTTGGTTAATAGACACATCACATATAATGTAGACAGATAGGTTGAAAAAGAAATACTGTGGTAAAATGTGTTGCCCAACCGTAGTACAAAGTCTACAGGCATTATGATAGTGTAGTGACTTTAGCTTCAACATCCCTGCTGTATTTTTACACTGGTGAATAATAAGCCAAACTTGTTGGGGCCGCACCAGTTAAGGGGCGCCTCTCTGCCCTCACGTCTAACCTGAGTGAACTCGCAGTGCATCCAACTGAAGCCTTTTAATGTTCACAGAGAATTACAGGGGAACTTCTTGAATGAGAAACAACATGGTTGCTGTAGTAATTGAATCCAGAGATCTGTTCCACGTTTGATTTGCGAGACCTGGGCTGTCGCGGACATAATGAGGGTAAGAGTGAGATTACAAGGAGCGTCCTTCCCCACTACAAAGGATGTGGCTGACGGTAAAGGCACCTCATCTTGTTGGTCTAATTAGCACCATCTGCAGCTCTTAGCACGTGGATGCTGTGACACCTCTGAATTAAGCTGCGCTCAAAACACACACACAAAGTCTGGCAGCCTGTTAGTCCTGATAACCCCGCCGTCTCCTCAGCCTCCAGTTGTTTTCACCAGAGACATCCTATTTTCCCTTTCAGTCACTTTCAGTCCTCCCGTGAAACAGACCTCTTATATAATTACGTTGTGGTTTTCTTTCAAATAATGGAAACTTCCATTACGAGGCCCTCATAAAGAAGACAAGCCTTTATTTCAAGTGCAATTAAGTGTAATCTTACCTCTGAAAGAGTAAACATTTACATTATTGATGCCACACAATCCTCCATCGCCAGCTGAGGAGGGCACACATTCTGATTAAGAACCAATAATGATGGCCCACACACACACAGTGAAAGCCTTTTACTACACTTCCTAACATACCCTGTCACTGTCTCTCTGTTCACTGATAATGACATACGATAGTGCTGTCTGTTTATAGGGATGCAGACCAGTATGAAGGCTTAATGGAACCTTGTTTGTGTAGGAATATAACAGCACGGCCTCACACGCCATACAAACCAGACCGACCCAGGTTCAGCGCGGGCCTGTGTGTGTGTATAACAAGCTCCTCTTCAACTGCCAGTATTGTATCACTTCCTGGATTTGAGAGGAAGCGGTGGTTTTCTGGTGTATGTGATAGAACACACGAGACAGAACAAAATGTGGTTTACGATGATCAGAACGGAGTAGCCTCTGAAATGCACGTTTCCATTTGACATGAGTGCAGATCAAAGCTTTGATGCAGTAGAAAGGATAAAAGCCTTATCTGTCCTCATACACAAAGCATCATTAGAATGATTTTATAGTGTCATGTATAGAGTAACAGATTTACAAACCGAGTGTGAGTGTGTGGGGAGGCTGTCCTCCGCGCCGTTCATTCATTCCTGATGATGGACACCTCATGGGGCATTATCCCTTCCATCACTCACGTTCCACTGTCACACACCAGTCCACACTATTTCTGACCTATGCCACTTCTTATTAGGGTTTGCAATGCTCCAATGTCACTGGGCTCTTGTTTCAGTATTATAGTGCTGATTGGTAGTAGGGTTGTATGAGATATATATATATATATATCTACGGTATGAGTAATGAAGTTTTAGCCCACTTTTTAGGGCACATACAAATAGAATGTTTGATTTATTAAAGGGCCTTAACCACACTGTGTCAAACAGACCGGAGATATTACCGTGGCTGAAACACTTCCTCTCTGTCGTGTTTATAGAGAACAGATATTAAACCATTAATGTGACAAGTGTCTTTTGACCTACTTTGCTGCTTCCCGAGGAAGTGTCCTGAGTCTGCACAAGGCTTAGCTCCTTTAGATGTGGACTGAGAGCTTAGGACACCTCATCCATTATATTCAGGCCTAGCTGCAACTGCAGTTGTGTCATTGCTATGCATTCAGTTCAGTTCAGGGATGCAGCGTGCCGAGGCTGTGACGCCTCCAAACACTGCACTTCATCCCACTACATCCTATTCCAACAGGAGTGCTCTGTGGCTGTGATTCTCAGAGTGCTGTGCACAACATTTGATCATAGATGTATCCATCATTATATGCCTTATATCCATACATGGCCTAAGATGTGGAGTGTATATGTATCCAGTAAAGCTTTCAACACAGTCCAGCAAGACTTAGATCTGTATCTGTGCGTGTTGAGATGATGAGGCCCAGATTGTCCCAGAGGAAGTTGAGGATTTTGATGGTTCATGTGAGCTGGGGCGGAGGGACGGAGAGACACTGCATCACGCTGTCACAATCTCAGAGTTCCTCTTACAGTTAATGCTCCATCACCCCTACTGCGATTGTTCTCTTCTTCTGTTTTCTGATTCCTCAAAATGGCAGGAAGCGGTTATGATCGAAGTGTGATATTATTCTGAACACAGGTTTGTAAACAATATGATTTCATGAGACTATGGTCCAAAGCTGACACAGAGATTTCTTCAGTTTGGGTGCCACTTGAAAACAGTTGTGACCTGCGAGTAATGCACACTCAGCAGAAAGAAGAGAAACAGTGGGAGAGAATAAGGCTCCGTCTGGATTCCATACGAGCTAAGCACAACCATTCATCTTGCTTTTTTTTTTTACTCTAACTGATATGCTTTCCATATGATGTGGTTTCCTCATCATTCCATAGACCCTCTTTCAAGCACATTCCCCCATGCTGACAAACATGAAGCACATTCCAACACCAGCTCATTCCCGCTCTGCACAAGACGTAAAGCAACCCCAGGCATTGTTTAGCCACATGTGCAAAACAAATCACTTTCCTCACTCGCTTCCATTAGCTGCAGACCCAAACACTGCCATCGGGTTAGGGTGGGAGGTGGAGAGGAGGGGGATGGGCGCGGGGGACGGAAGGAGAAGACAGATGTGTTTATAGAGGAGGGAGGAGAGACGATAACAAGGTCTCCATCCAGATCGAAGTTTTAACGTCTCCAAACCAGCAGGTCCATCGTTACAAAGGTTCATTGTCGTAAGCGTTGCTGCGTGTTCAGCGTGGTTTGGTTTCATATTGTTTGTAAACTGGTAGTGTGTCGTTCACTTCATTTGATGTGCATAGATAACTCATTTCCTAAAGTGTAACAGTCAAATGAAAAAGGACAGAAGAAGAAAAAGAGACAACAAGAGACTGTAAAAGGAGAGGTGTAACTTATGTAAGAGTTACAGAGAGTTTGGAAGGAACACACTGTTCCTATGGAATCTGTAAATGAAAGGAGGGAGGAAGAGGGGATCACGTCATGACAAAGGCAGAACCAGATGAGCTTTGGAAAGTTGGCTCTGACTGACCTTCCCCATAACGCTGTATGGACACTTTATAGTGTCATTTAAACCTCTGTGCAAATACATGGAGACACTGTAAAATAGTGTTTCTCATTACATATAGGCTTATGAAGGCATAAAGACTTCAATCAGTGGTGACAGAGTCAACAGAGCCCCCGCAGTCAAAGTTCACCAGACTCTTTTGTTGACATGAAACATGACATTTAACAGACTTACAGTGGTGTTACTTTTTCGCCTAAATCCTGTGAGAACATGAGAAATGCACTGGAACGATGGAAAGATAAGAGAAGCAGAACTCTTCTGTCCATTGTGTAACTAACTAACTAAGAGGATCTACTGGCAGAAATGGAATCTAATATTCATAGGTGTGTTTTCATTAGCGTATAATCACCTGTATATAGGGATTGCTGTGTTTTTGTTACCTTACAATGAGCTGTTTTTATCTACAGACACTGCAGTTCACCTTCTGTGGAGTCCGCCATGTTTCTACAGTAGCCCAGATCAGACAAACCAAACATTGGCTCTAAATAGGGTCTTTCACATTTTTTGCAAGTTTCCTTGCCACCGTAGTTTCTCCTACACACTTTACAGCCCGTTCTCATCCCCAGGTCGACAAATACAGATGCCAGTTACTTGCAGTCTGCTAATTCAGCCCTAGATGCCACGACATCCTACACGCAGGTCCTTTAAACTGTGGTTTTTGCTGCATCAGAAGCAGCTGTGATCACTCAGACTTTTGATGTATTTTTTCTAATTGTAGAACTCGGTGTGAAGACTGGCAGCAGTCCAGGGAAAAGCAGGAGAAGTCCACTGCAGACCCTCTACAATGGGGACCAGGTGAGAACACACACACACACACACACACACACACACACACACACACACATAAAACATCAATTTGTGCAAGGCTTAGAGGCTTTGTCAGCT